TTTATTTGGAGCACCTGTATATTTTGCATCAAATAAATCAGAAAAACTGAGCTGGACGTGTCCTGGACTTTGATTCCCCTAGAAGGCTGTGGTTATCGTAAGATCTGTGACAAAATCCTACCGGTAAAAGAGGTGGTTTGTTACAACAGATATACATACATCAACAAACAGAAACACACCGACACATACACAATCATATACACACTTACACATACACACACACACAGATACACACTGTAACGGAGCTCCCTGTAGGAGCTTCATAGCTGGAACAGGGGACAAACCGCAACACTGTCGCCGTGGCTTGACTGGGGTCCTGGAACCGAATGGGGAACTCTCTCTAGCAACCCCCAGGAACTGGACGATACTCCTGGGAGCGCTAGTCCTTACAAGGACTTTCCCCGTTGAATGCTCCACGCTGGAACAGTGATTAGTGATTAGCCCTTTCCCCTCCCAGTAACCAGACGACACAGTTCTGGGAGTACAAGCTGGAATGTTTTAATCTGGCCAGGTGGCCTGCTTTTATCTTGTTTCAGATACAGTTGAGCACGCCAATAACACTCCCACAGAAAACAGGATAATCCCTCTCCTGGGCCTGAGAGGGGATTAGTTACCAGTCCCAAACTCCTCCCCTGTGCTTGAGAGATAATTCAGGAAGTCAGGAAGAGAACTAACTCAATTATCTCCAGACACAAAAAAAAACACAATTCACAGACATCCCAAAAATACCCTAAATATTACATCCCCCTATAGCCCTGATCTAGTCTTACTTGTTTGTGGAAACATTTCAAAGTATCATTTAGGCTTAACAAGCTCCAGGGTGGTCTCCCAAACCATAAAGTGCAAATTTATACTCTGTGGGTTGGAGGCTGGCAAACTTTGTCATACACACTGGCAACTACACACACAAATACATACTGACATTGACACACAGATACATATGTTTATATTTGCTGTCACCCTCCTGTTCGCTTACCTTTTACGGCCAGACGAGGTCACCCCAGAAGGGCCCAACAGGAGATTTGAACCCGGGTACTTTGTGGTTCTAAGCCTGTGTTCCTGCCTGAAGCTTATCCTTGCCATGTCTCCAGCACCTGTGACTGCTCCTGTCAATCATGGTCCACCTGTAGCTTATCACTAATTATCCAGGTATAAGACATTGCGTTTCCCTGAGGGCAGTGTCAGTTCATTGACGCTGATTCACGTTTTTGGTTCCTGTTTCTGAGTATCCAGATTGTGTGTGCTCCAGTTTTTTACTGGCTCCTGAGATTGGCTCTTCTCATTATTTTCTCTGACCTCTGGCTTCCCCTGACTTCGGCTTTCCGTGAAAACTTTTCTGCTTGTCCTTGCCTGTACTGCGACTTGGAGCACTATTCCTGCACAGCCCCTGTGCACAGACTCACAGCCCAGGTCGATTCTTACCTGGTCACCTGATCTGTGTTTATTTGCAAGGGTGAGCGTATATATATCTCTGCATACCGGACTCCACATCAGGTAAGATTCCTGACACCTTTTTGCTGCAGGAGGGTGGCTTCCTTTAGTGTTGCTGGCTGAGGCTGATGTGCGAGATCGGCAGCTGCTCACTCCCCGCTTCTCCCTCTCTCTGTCCTGCTCGGCGCGCTCTATGTCTGTGAGCAGGGCCGGCCTTAGGGGTGTGCGAGCTGTGCGGTCGCACAGGGCGCCATGGCAACAGGGGCGCCGGGCGGCCAACACAGCTCGCAGGCCGGCCGAGTTCTGTATTTAAAGTGCAAGTCAAGTGCATAATACTGCTTTGCACTTGACTTGCAAATTATGAGCAGAGAGCCACCGCCGGGAATCCACTTCTGTATGGAGGGTGGAGGAGGAGCGTGGGGGCGTTATGCCGCGTACTTGCGTAACGTCGACGTGCTCTGTCATCAGAGGGAGCCGCGGAAGGATCCAATTCAGTGAGTGAAGGCGGCACCCGGTGCTCTTCAATCGGCGGAGACAGCTCAGTCCAGGGAGCAGCAGCCTTTACTGTGAGTGACTTTTTTTTCTTTTTTATTAAATAGGTTTTGTTGAAGAGGTGCAGGAATTTAATTAAGGGGGGCAGGGGATTGATGAAGGGGTGGCATGGATTGCATTAATTGGCAGGGGATTTATTAAGGGGGCTGATAAAGGGTGGCAGGAAACTGAAAAGGGGGGCATGGGGCTGATTAAAGGGGGCAGGTGGTTGATAAAGGAGTGGGAGGGGATTGATGAGGAGATCAGGGGGCTGATGAAATGGGGGCAGATGGCTGATAAATAGGTGGGAGGGAATTGATGAGGGGGCAGGGGACTGATGAAGGGGTGGCCAGGGGTTGGATTATTTGGCATGGGATGTATTAAGGGGGCTGATGAAGGGGAGCAGGGGGTTGAAAAGGGGGGCATGGGACTGATTAAAGGGGGGCAGGTGGGTGATAGGGGTGGGAGGGTACTGATGAGGGGGTCAGGGGGCTGATAAAAGGGGGAGGGGATTGGTGAGGGGGTCAGGGGACTGATGAATGGGGCAGAGGGCTGTTAAAGGGGTGGGAGGGGATTGATTAGGGGGTCAGGCGGCTGATGAATAGGGGCAGAGGGCTGAGTAAAGGGTGGGAGGGAATTGATGAGAGGGGCAGGGGACTGATGAAGGGGTGGCAGGAATTGATAAAGGGGTGGGAGGGGATTGATGAAGGGTAAGGGGTGGCTAGGAGTTTGACGAAGGGATGGACAGGGCATTGATGAAGGGGAAGGGGTGGCCAGGAGTTTGATGAAGTGGTGGCCAGGGGCTTGGTGAAGATCTGGCCAGGGATTTTGGTTAAGAGGTGCAGTGGTTTTGTAGAAGGGGGTGGAGGCAACAGATTGTGAATGCTCCTAAAATAGTTTGAAGGGGTCCAAACAGAGACAGGTGAGGGGGGGGGCGCCACAAGATTGTTTCGCACAGGGCGCCTGAACACCTAAGGCCGGCCCTGTCTGTGAGGAAGCGACAGGCTGTTAGTTCCACCCAGCATTCGATACTAAAAGGGCCTGGTCGCACTCTTAAGCAGTTGCCTTGCCTGACTGGTCCACGGTTTAACTATACCCATTGGAGGGCCCTAAGTGGTTGGGCCTCCCGATAGGCAAATCATGGCAGAACCCCAATTGGGAAGCGCTGCATTACATTATGGCGCTGTGTGATGCCATAAAACATTCTGTT